GGAATGGGGCTCCTAAGATTATCTGGAAGAAAATCCTTGTTAGCCATATAACTTGAATATTCTTGTTCTTATTTGTTGTTGCTGTTATGAGTTTAACACAATTCTTCAGCACATGATACATGGTAGAGAGTATGTTAAGTGAATGAACAAACCAGCAAAACCTTGGGAAGATTCATTATTCCACAGGAAGCTAATGGCAAGCTTTCTCAAATGTTGGCCATATCTGGACTCTAACCCACACAGACTGAAGTGAGATATCAATATTCTGTAAAGGTGAGTGCCTTAAATCACTGGGCCACCCAGAACCCCAGACAAAAGAAAACTATCAATTAATAATATAGTGAAAATATAAATTATCTTGAGGTAAAAGAAAAGAAAATCACAGTTTCTAATAGAATTTGTGGCCACCCTCAAACCCATCACAATTCAGTGGTTGATCTTTAACATGATGAATGCATATGACCCAAAAAGTGATGTACATTTGAGAATTGGAATACTGATATAATAAGTCAGTGGAAAATTGAAAATAGTAGATCAATTTTAGGGACTGACTATTTATTGAAGGGGTGGAGGCTAGGAGTTTCTTTAGGATCAGAAGATATTTTTTTGTTTTTGCTCAAAATAATTCTTTTTTTCAACTAATAGCTTGGATTTGCATTTTTTTTTCTGATATAAAGTGTCCAGGGGTGTCCAGGTGTCAAGGTTTGTGGGATGCAAAGCAAACAATTGTAGGAAATCCATGATCCTGCACTCAGTATGCAACACTGTTGCAGTGAAAGAAAATTTTTTGTGGGTTTTGCATCTTGGTATTTCCTAAACTTTAAGCTAAGACAATTCATTCTGTTGACATGAGCACTTATCCTTTTGATCTTGTGGTCAAGGTCACATAATTTAAAGTCATACTTTGATCTTAAAGTTGACATCCAAACCCTAGACTTGTTTATTCAGATTGTCATCGAAAGATGGTGTGTGTGTGTGTGTGTGTGTGTGTGTGTGTGTGTGTGTGTGTGTGTGTGTGTGTGTGTGTGTTTGTTGTGTGTGTGTGTGTGTGTATGTGTCTCTCTCTCTCTTTTTTTTTGGACCATATGCTCCAGTTGACCAAAAAAAAAATTAGGCATACTACATTAACTCCACTGGCAAGGCCCTGTTGCCAGTGTGGACCTCTTGGGTTTTGCAGATCATAAGCTGAGCTTGATATGAACAGAACTGCCATTCCAAACCGAACTGAGTAACTGATGCTTTTGTCACTTCCTTCAGGACTGAGCATTTTGTAATTTTAAAACTTCTGACTGGAAATACAATTGGTCATATTGGTCATCTCAGCTTAGGCAAAGAGACATTGCTATGCCTCCCCTGACAGATGTACTCTGTATAGGTAATCTGACTTCATGGGGATATAAGTTCATGTTACCATAAGAATTGTATGACCTGGCCAGTTACTTCTCCACTTAAAATGTCCAGCTTTTAGCCAAATATACACTTCAACAGTTATCTGTCATCAGCTTTTAAGGTCTGGTAGGTATTTATACTTACCTGCATACATATGGGATATAAATCAAGGTATCTTATAAGCCTTAGTAACTGTAATATTACCATTTAAAATAACATACATGTATTTCAAAATTAGTCATTTAATTTTTCTGAAAAAAATTGTAATTTTTGATAATGTAATTTTATATTTTATGAATTACTACAGAAATATAACTTCCTCTAAAATCTGCAGTGATACCATAAAAAATATTTCCATTCAAAACTTCACATACAGATATTAATACAATTCATATTAATACAATTCATATCTTGCATTTCTTGAAAAAAAAAATTATGTATAGAGTTTAATGTCACATCAAGACAACTATAGCTTATATCATTGCTGGGCAAAATGCCCAAGTCAGGTACCATGTCAAAATCCTCAGGAAGACACACTCCCTAACCAAAGATCCACCATGACACAAAAAATTAAGGGAAAAGATGTATATTGCACCCAAATACATACAAAATATAAATAAAATGCAAAACAGAGTAATATCCTTAAACATATGATGAAATATTTTCTGTGTAAAGCTCTCTCTTTTTAAAAATGCAAGACCTCCATTTAAAACTTGTCACTGATGCATCTCACAGCTAACAAGTTACATGTATCTCCATTATCAGTCCATCTGACATGTAAGTTGGTTCATGGGACTTATTCTGTATGCCTGAACCTGCAGACCGAATGGAAAGGATATTAAGTCAAGGATAATAGTACCACATTGTAAATGCTACCATTTATAAATACATTTTCCTTATTAATTACATGTATTATTTATAAAAAAAATAAAGTTATTTAAAAATCAGCTTTTTGGTCATGTATATTTTTAGCTTCTATAATTAAATATAACAAGCTTGAAAAGTTTCTTGTTTGCTGGTACATGTACACAGATTGCAAAACACCAACTGTTATGAAACCTTGACCTATCGAATATTCAGTCTGTATGGAGAGATGAAATACCTGTGGTTTTGTTGGCATGCATTGATGCACATAAAATATGATTACTTACATTATGTGCATACTGAAAGTAGGTTAGTAAAACCTTGGTATAAGAATTAACATTTATTATTGGTGAAAGTTAGAATTAACATTTTTTTCCATCTACAAATAAACTAAGATAGTTTATATGTTGATATTTGTCAGATTGTATCTGATAAACAGACCAATTGAATGCTACTTGTATGTACTTGGCATGATATGAGTTTCCATAAATAACACAGTACAGTGTATCTAGTATGGGCAGCCCATAAGCTTTGTGATTAGAAAAAAAAAATAATAGTATCTTAACCCTGTTGGGCTGATAGATGTAGAGTTGACTCCTTTGTAGGTATGTGGGACTTGCATCTCAGAAGTTCATCTTTCAAATTCTACCATTGAATCAGCCTGGGTTGACCCCCATTGGCAAGGCATTTTATTCTGATTGCTTTGGCCCTAAATAACCTACTTTTATTAAAAGCCATAAATCAATCAATGAAGCCAAACCAATCCAGTTTTATAAATCAAGCCTCTAATAATTCATAGTGTGTGTGTGTGTGTGTGTGTGTGTGTATATATAAATATATATATATATATATATATATATATATATATATATATATATATATATATATATATATATATATATATATATATATATATATATATATATGAGACAAGAACTAGCTTAAGTGTAGGCATACAAGAATGATCTGTGTAAACTTTTGGTAAATACATTTAACTCCAGAAGTAACAAGACATATGGGAACCAAATAATCATATAATTTTATATAAATTTCATTATAGCCAGAGAAAGATATTACTGTATATACTTGGTTATTAGTCAAGTCCAACTACTGACTGCAAAGACTCAGATATACCATCACATAATGTACCATCAGATCTGGGTGTATGCAGTATGTTAAAAAAAAATCAGTAGAACAAACAACATAGACCCTGATATGCTGCCACATTGTGTGATCATGCATGGTCTGTGTTGTTTGCAGTTGGACTGGACATATCAGTCAGTATACAGGTATATTTTATATGACCTTGCATTGTACAATTTGATTTTTTAGTTCATCTGACTTTGTTATAAACAGTTTCTTTTTTTTCAAATTAGCCAACTTCTGAATATAATGTATCTTGAATGTGTGATAGAAGCAATCCTTTCATATGCTCAGTTCATGAATGCATGCATAATCTATTTCTTGGTGGACTAGGCCCAAATATTAGTGCTAATGAAAAGTCAAATGAACAGACCATTTTTGTTGGCCTATGTAGGCTCAGTTGATTTGGTGATTTTAGAGTACTCAGTACACTAACCACTTAGGTTCCTGGAAGAGTTAACTTATTAACTGAGTTGTTGAGGTTAATAGTAGTATATTTTGTGTATAACAATTACAAACAATTCATGATTTCACAAATGACACTGTGACTTTTGCTTTGTTCTACTGATTATTCCAAACAAATTGCACAGACCTGGATCTACCAGTGCATTTGTGACTTCAGATTTGGATCTGTGCAGTTTACTGATGGATCAGCAATATATACAAGTATATATGGTATTTTACTTGTTTCAGGAATTCAGAATATAATTATAAATGATCAATTTGTTTTATATCATTCTCACAATTCAGATACTAAGTGAATTTTAGATGAAAATTGTTTAAAATTGAATTATTTTATATAATTCAAAGCAGAATGTAATTAGGGAACTTAGAGGGTGTCAAAGATTTAACATTAGTTATTTCCTTTCATGTTTACCTAATAGAAATTGAAAGTAAGGTTACTTGGACAAATGAAAAATGTTAATTGAACTACCGTGGTGGGTTTAAACATGTGTTTGTACATGTGACTTCAGATCAAAGCATATTATGGTTGTTTTGACTTGGTGCCAGTGCAGCTAGCAGCCCTGAACAGTCTTGGCCAATGATTTGATGGTTGATATTCATGCCTTTTTCACAATGTTATTGATTATCACTGCATGCAATGGCAAAGGTACACAGCTAGAGCCTCAGCCATGAAAGTTAGTGTGTATGTGCATTTGTGTGTTTGGATCAAGGAATTATATGGATAAAATACACAGTACATGTGAAGTATAAATCATTTGTGACAAGCCAACCAAGAAAAGAAGAAATAAAGGAGATACTTGTTGTTAAAGGTAAGAAATATTTAAGTAACAGCTAGGTAATAAACAAATTAGGTATTTTAAAAACAAATTATTGTGTAAGCTAAATTTAATCATAGGAAATAAATTTACTGTATCAACCCCAGATTTTTTCATAACTTTCTATTTTCACATTGCTATCATGTCTGCATTGTGGCAGTTTATAGTGATGTCGAGCACTGGGGTATCATGCCTTAGAAATGAAGCATGATGTTCCACCCAATCACATTATCCTAATACCATGTTATCCAGTCCTAACACTGATCTCTTAATGCTGAGGTCAAGTGAGGCAGCTGTTAGTACCATTTTTGTAAGTCTTTGGTATGACTCGACCAGGGATCGAACCCACAACCTCCCGCATCTGAGGCAAACGCTCTAACCACTAGGCTACCAGAGTGGTTACTGTGAAACAAAACTATCATTTAGAAAGAAGATGAATTCTTTGGGTTTTTTCAATAGTGGCAGAATATATCTTTCTCCAAGGCAGATAGGTAGATGGTGGAATATGTATGGTATTGTTGTAATAGATAATAGGAATATGGGTCCTTTTAGGTCAAGATAGATCTTTATAGGTTTTATCTCTAGATGACTATTTACACTGTTAGCTACTCAGTATTGTACTATAATGGTAATGTAACAGTCCAGACAGGAGTACAAATAAGGACCACGACAAGTAGATCAGTTAAGGGCACAACTACCTGCAGTTGTTCTGTGTACATGTACTGGCCACATGCAGAGGGCCTATGTTTATATTTAGAGATGTGGTTGCATTAAAAAACAACACACACACACATATTATATATACATATTGTGTGTGTGTATATATATATATATATATATATATATATATATATATATATATATATATATATATATATATATATATATATATATATATATATATATATAATCTTTATTCTCAGTGATTTATCAGTGTTTAAAAAACTTAAGTCACTGTTCAGTACATTTATATGGTATATCTTGCCCCATCCTCTTCCAGCCTATCATGGGAGAATGCATTATTTTTCTTGCTTATTCATGTGGGTAGTCAAATTAAGTGCATAACATTTCAATTATAATATCATACAGTATAAAGTAAAGATGACATGGGTGGAGAGGAAATTAAGTTGAGTGGGGTGGACCTACACTCCTCTTACTGTTCCTCAGTCTGATTCCAAATTTGATCTTTTTTACACCATGTTAATCTACACATAAGAATCTGAAATATCTGCATTGTAGGTTATGTCTTATTAATTGATGATTAGTATTGGAATTGGTGCAAATTAGAACCAATAGCAGTCTTTTGATACACATCACTGGATTTTTGATTTATTGATGTGCATCAGATTTTTTTTTTGTGATCAAATGAATTTTAGTTTCAAATTTGACAATGACATTTTGCTAATTGAAAGGTCATTTGGATATGACCTGTGGTTGTGGTTTTGTGGATTGAACATCATCATTCAAAACATAATAGGCTATATGTGGCAGCAAGTATATATGTTTAAAGGACAAACCTGGAAAAACCCTAGAAAGAACCACTGTTCCATGGAAGATATGACAAGCTTTCTCACATACTCACATTGGCAGAGACTTAAATCCATAGAGTGAGATGGCAGGGATGACCTATAATTAAGGCTGCAGTATATTATACATATAACAGCTTAATGGCTGCAAACATCTACTTGATAGCTACCAGAATTCAAAACAATATCACTATCATTCTAAGAATGTTTCACCAAAAGTACCATATATATTCAGTGAAGACATGTCCTGTAGACTGAAAAACTGTCATAATTAGAGGTTTAAAAACATTTCAAAAGAAACATTTGCAAGTTTAGTGAAGTATGGCAAATCTTTTTAAAATTAGATATCCTCTTTCCTATTTGAAGATTTGACAATGACTGCTTAGAGGTCATGTTCTAGTGACCTATATTGTTACCATAGTTTAATTAGTCAATTAGTTTAAGTCTTATGCTTTCACATTTGGGAGACTAAGCAGTATAGATGAAGAGCATCAGTGTGTGCTGAATGATTTGATTCACTTTCACATTTCTGAAAGCTGCATATTCATTGGCTAATTCAAAGGCAACCAGAACATGACACCTAAGTGGTTGCTGTCAGATCTTCACATGACAGTTGAGATAGATTTTACAGTAGAACCCTTCTTTCTGAAAGACCACCGTTTGTGCCAGATAATAATAGTCTCCCAAGACAGGTGGTCTCTCATTACAGGTCATTGCACTAAACTGATAAATTTGTACATCAAGAAGTTGGTCTCTCAAGACAGGTGGTCTCTCACTGCAATGGACTTTCAAGACAGGTTTTACTGTAATCAAATTGGAAGTATAGGATGCACATTGTCATTGGCTAATACATTATAAATAGCTGTACCCATGAGGTCAGTTTGGGGAAGAGGTTGAGTTTTTGAATCAGTTTGCATGAGATTCATAATATTATTTTAGATGGAAATGTTTATAACTCATAAGACCTACTTATGTCTTCTGAGGTCTTCACTGTTCTTATCACACAGTTACATACTGACAACTTTGTAATTCTCTTAAACATTATTTTATTAGCATGAATACCTGAAGTCTTAAAACTTTATTTAGAGTTAATTTAGCTCCTGTCTCCTTGCTCATATTTTTCAGTGGTATATTTTTTTACCATAGTGATCATTTTTGTCATATTATCAAAAATTTCTTGTCTTTTCATCAGTCTTTGTGTACCATTTTATTTGAGCTATTGATGATCCATATTGATTGAGGAGGCATGATTAAAATGTTTATATTGAAAGTGAAAAGTTTGCAGACAAATTTTAAACTGGAGTTCAGATAGCTTCTTCTGTTAGTAGAATGTCTGGTCTGTTAAATATGTTCCCATACCTGTATTGTTATGTTGATTCATTTGAGATCTGATTATAAAACTGCCCTTATCCAGACAGATTTGTCAACTTCACATGAGTGCATATATCAATAGTTTTTAGACAATTAGATATTTATCACAACTAGACATTTAGGTACATGTATTTATCACAACTAGACACTTAGGTATTTATCACAACTCTCAAGTTGTGGTCAGTATAAAGGGGCAGTTTGGTGCTCAGTACAGCACATTTCCATACCATGACAGATGTTTGACAACCTTGAAAACTATGTGAAATAACACAACTTACATCCTGTTGTCATTTCTACTGGGAAAGTTAAGGAACAGTCATATAATGTTGCTTCACTTAAATTAGCTGTTACCCAGTATTTATTTTAAACATCTTAATGATATGGCTTATAGTTTCAGTGATTTCAGTGATGTTTTTCATTAATATGACTTTAACCTGTATTGAATCTTCTTATCAGCATCTGCATGACTTTCTGAAAAACTTAGCTGTTACTTTCATACGTAATTATACTGGTCAGTTCCCTAAATCATGAAAATTATTTAAAATTCCCTAAATCTTGCACATTAATTAAATAAAGAGATACCCTTTTTGAAAACTGGAATAAAAATTGTAATCAATAATAAGAGACCCATTCCCATCCTTCCTTATCAAAATTAACAGAAAAACATGTTCGAGTAGTTTTGCTTTCAACAACATTAACTTCTCAAGGAAACACATGTGAAATATCATTTTTATGAATGGTAGACATATTTTAAGTGCCTTAGGTGATGGAAAATTAGTTGGAACAGTAATAGTTGATGTTAGAAAGGCTTTGATATAGTGTACAATCAAATTATTTTTAAGAAATAGAAACTCGGTCACTATAGCATGGACACTGTTACTTACTTTGAATCATACTTAAACAACAGGTCTCAGAAGGTCAATGATCAAATGATCACCTTTGTTGTGGAAAAACCTACAAGTTGTAGTTTACCACAAGAGACAGTTTTTTGTCTATGTTTCTGATTTGTATCAGACTTCTTTTTCAAATAATCTTGTTACAATGATACTGATGATACTGAAAAGTCAGTCAATTAAGACTTTGTTCTTTAGAATAGTTGTTTTGATTATGTGACTTGAGCATATTTAATCTGGAATTGTCATGTGATTGTTGCATAATGAATCTTATGGTGGTCAATGGATCAAAATACAAATTGGATAAAATTATATAAATATACCAACATAAACTTTTCTTTTTTGGATTGTTTCAACAATTGATGAACAGTTGATCTTGTTCTATACGGATTTAACCCAATAGTATATGTGCATCTAGGACATATCCCCCTTCCCAGACATTCCCTCCCCCCGACATATTCCCACCGGACATCCCCCTGAACTTCCCCCATCAAATAGGACTTTTCCCCATTCCCACAGTCATTTCCTCCCCATGATCTTAAAACTTAATTCATTTAATATGACATTTTGCCAATAAAATATAAAAACTTATATTAAGTTATTTTAAAAGAAAAAGGTTATTTGAAATAAATTTCAGTAGTAAGTGTAAAAGTCAAGATTTTCACATATCAAAAAAATGTACATGTATTGTTTAAAAGTTAATGTTGTAAGCAATTGCTTTTAAGTATTCTATGAAGTCATGATTGTTGAAGTTGGTGACTGTTTGCAATTCTCGAAGAACAGTCTTTGTATTTCTTATATTTAATAATGCATTTTTTCAGGTGACAACAGTCATGTCTGTGCACTAAGGACAATGTGGGATTCGAGTATACATCAAAGCTAAACGTTACTATATTTAAATAAAGTTGTATAAAGAAAAGGGGGGGATGACTGGGGGGAAGTTCTATCTGATGGGGGGGGAGTCCAGGAGGAAAATGGTCGGTGGGGAGTCCGGGGAAGGGAATGTCCAGGAGGAGATGTTCTGATACCAGTACGTGTCAATCTATGGATTTTCTTATGGATTAAATAATAGGTGCCAGTCTCAAAAAGAAAATAATCAGATTTGTGCAGAATATCAAATATTAGCATTTTTGTTCCAAAAAAATTTGTGCTGATATATCTTTATCTTTCCTAAATGGTAGCCTCAGGTCCCATTCTCTGAAAACATTCTTGCATATACCATAATATGGAAATCAGAACTGTGAAGCCATGCAGCAGACCACATAATTGATAGATTATTCATTATATATAGGCACCACCTTTCTGCTCTGTATTAGTTCTACATTGAATATCATAACATTTTATGTCATCTTACAATCACACATTTTTTAATGTGTCAGAAATTTGTTATTTATATTTCATTTAGTGTGCTCCAAGGTCTGGACTCTTCCTTTGCAATCAGTCTCTAACCTGTCAGTGATTTAATGTGTGGGTGCTTTACATTGAAAGCAGCTTGTAAAAACAAACCACAATTTACTTTATATCTCATTATATCATTACTAAGGTTAGATTAATATTTGATTACTAATCAATATGTTTGTCTCATCTATGTCAAAATTTGAATGGATG